TAGCTTGAGTCTTTTAATAAGAACCTCCAGCTCTGGGGACAAGAAAGATGAAGGAAGAGTTTGCAAGGGGCCAGATTTGTTATTCTGGTTTCTTCATATATAAATATATATAATATGCAATGTTTTGTGAGTTTTTTTCCTCTTATACAATTCTGATTACATATGTATCCAACTCAGAAGGCAACTTACACATTTTTCTTTTCACTTCAGGAAAACACAACTCACATACACACCCCAGAGAACAGGATTCCAGTGGGGAGGCTGGGTTAAACATTGTGTCAGGGAAGAAACCTTTAATATTGGCCTTTGGTGCTGTCATTTTCACTTTATGCTAGGGCTCCAACTGGGTGCTTTGATTTTCAGACATTTTCAACAATTAGTTCATCCCCTCCCATCCAACCTGCCCAGTGACCAATAGAGGGCAGAATGCCTCTTTCTCTAGATCTCTATCAGGAAGATATTCTAACTTCCTGTCCTATGTTTTTCCTCCAGTTTGGAAGACACCCTCCTGTCCCAACCATCCTTTTCAATGGTCACTTTAGGGGGTTAGAAAAAATAGTCAAACGACCTTTTGGTCTGTAACTCTTTCCTCTTCCCCCTCTGCAACTCATTCATGCAGGCATGAAGTCTTCTAAATCCTGTGCCCTCCAATGAGCTGACATTTAATGGGGTTCAGAGCTACTTAAAGAACTCTTTATAAAACAAATGATAAATGTGACAAGCAGAGGTATTTTCAAAATTTTGTAGAACAGATAAGGGATTAAGTTCAAGAGGTCTTCCCGGAGAGAAGCATGAAATCCTATTCCTTGTATGGCTCTAATATTCCTTGTATGGCTCTATATTCCTTGTATGGCTCTTATATTCTTATATTTGCACATGCCTTTCTGGGGTCATGTAATTTTTCCCAATCTTTGTTATTGCTGTTGAGGGGTGGGCAGGGTTTCTGGGAATTGAACTCAGAGCCTCAAGCTTGTCTATCACTTGAGCTAGGCCTTAAGCCCTTTTTGCTTTTAGTTTTCAGATAAGATCTTGGGCTTTAACCCAGGGCTGGCCTCAGACTGTGGTTCTTCTTCCTCTGCCTTCTGAGAGGCAGGAATAGGCCACCCTGTCTGGCTCTTGGTCCACTTCTTAGACAAATTCATTCTGTAGTTACCCAGACACTATAAATTGAGTATCTAAAGATGTACAACAAGCAATGATGAACAAATAAATAATAAATCTGTGCCAGGTAGAGAGAATTATGGATAGAAAAAAAAGCAGATTCAGGTGGATTGGGTGCTTTGAAGTAGTGCTAGCTATCTTTATGTGAAAGAGCAAGAAAAACCTATTAGGTGATATCTGAGCATAGACTTAAAGAAAGTAAGAGAATGTATGATGTGGTTTAATCAGTGGAGTGGGGCTTCAGGCAGGGAGAAGAGCAAGTGTGGAGAACTAAATGTGCCTAATGGTCCAGTTTACTTCCTTGTATTAGGCTAGGTTCTTAGTCTAGTCTCAGAAGATGAGGGAATGTTTGAGCTGGAGCCTAACGTCTCTGTCTCAGCTTCTGATACCTTATAGTCTCTGCTGGAGCCCAGAGAAAAAAAGTTTAACCTCCTAGCTCACACACAGGTTTCTTATTTGCCATTAGTTACTAGCTTCAAGAAATCTTGTTTGTTTCTATGACTATTCCTTTTATGGCAAACAACAACAAAACACACCTAACTTGATTCTTCTGAGTGGCTATATCCATTTTAGTCTGAAAATCTTTCTAGTTCCTCCTAAGTGTGAGAAGCAAGCCTTGCATCTATCACGCTCCAGGTGCTCTGTCTTTGGAATCCTGGGAATGACTGTTGGTGACCTCCATATTGTCCCTTGCCCATGCTCAAATTGGCAGTGCTCTTTAATCCTTCACATACTGCCTTTAAACATAAAAATCACATATAAGAAAGGCAAAACTTGGGCATTGATTATTCCTCCTTAAAAAAATTTACAGTGGCCTTTTTGATTTTTGTTTTAATTCCATCACTTATCCTTGGCTTTCCTGAGCCCTATAATGTTACTGGCTACATTTTAATAGTGCCTTTATACTTATATTTGAACAGAAATGTAATTTCCTCTGCAAAAGTGGAAAAGGCCTTCTAACACAGGGCAATGATGACAGCTTGTTGGCAGATTGCATGGTAAAGTGGTGGAGCCTTGTTGGGTTACAAGAAACCATCTTTTTTTTTTTCAGGGAAAAATATTCGTGTCTTTTTTTTTAATTGTGAGAATACCGTACAGAGGAGTTACAATTACATGGGCAAGATAACGAGTACATTTCTTATCAAGCATTGTTGCCTCCTCTTTGTTTCCCCTTCCCATCCCTTCCCATACTCCCCCTACATCTCCCCACCCGATCCTCCCCGCCCCCCACCAAAGTTGTAAAGTTCATTTTTCGACATAATGTCTTTTACATCTCATTGTTGCAATAGGTCCACCTGTATCCCTAGTTAAACGATTTGTTTTTGCCCTTCCCCTCCACAAATCATACCAATATCAAATACAGTGAAAGCAGGAAGAAACCATCATATTTAACACTGTCGTCTGTTTTATTATTTACCTTTACTATTAGAAAACCTACCATGTTTTAAATGGTTCTACCAACTGATATTAGAGAACCATAGGTTGTGAGGTCTTTTGGAAGTCATCTGATCTGACCTTTCAAGCCATTGCAGAAACTATCTCCATCCTGTAAGCTAGTCCTTCCAGGAACCCTTTGAGCCCATTGCAGATGGAGTACTCACTCCCCCTGTTCAATACTGAACAGCTTTCCTTCTATCCTCTAATAATCAATGGTAATGATAATTAATAGCCTCTCTTTCCACAGGACAACAACATACGACGGGAAGTATGTTTATAGTTTTCTGATGCCAATGATGGGGTAATATTCCACGGGTAACTGTGCCTTTTGGGTTGAAGATTAGCATGGTTACTCCAAAATATTCACCATGAATACAAATTTGTTCCACAAACAGATTTCAAAGGTATCTTTGTTTCCATTCTCCTTACACTCCTGCCATTAACTTCTGGTTCATTAGTCATGACTTTCAGGATCCACTTGGTTGCTGACTTCCTGCATGGAGACAGAGGTGAGAGGGTGGACAGACAAGTCCACTTCACCTCTGCGGAAGGATCCGACTCCCCGCCCCCCTCCCCTGACCCATATGGATCCAAGTCACTTTCTGTCAGTTCATTAACTTTATTCATCCTCCTGTGAGTGGGGGCCCTGCTATTCCAACCATCCTTGGTTCTCCTCACCTGGTCACTGGGAGAACCTCTGTTGAAAGCCACAAATGAAAACAATCTCCACAGGAAGCATTTGGCTTTCTTCACCTCCATTCATCATTTACCACGATCTTCCTGATTACTACATTCGCATTAATTTTTTGTTTAAAGAGAGGGAACCCCACCGCTTTGCAGTGAGCTTGGACGCCAAAACGGCTGTCAGAGAACACCAATGCACCAAATCCCCGGGTCTGGCTTCCCCAGGCGAACTGTGTCGGGCCTGCCCTGCTCCGGGGAGAAGGGCTCAGCCGCGTTACTTTCCAGGCGCCCCCTCCTATAAGACAGCACCGCGCCCTGGCACAGAGAGCAGAGCGACCGGACACACCGCTAAAATCCGACGGTGCCACGGCCCCCCCCCGTCCTCCTCTCCCCTTACCCCACCCGCCCCCCGCGGAATATTTACCTAGACCATTTAAAGCACTTAATTAATTCTCCAGCAGCCTCGCTGGAGACGTCTCGAGCTCCCCGAGACTCCATTACATAATATCTTTTGCAAAGTCTATTCCCGGCTCGAGTTGGAAGATGGATTCTCATTCCACTTTGCGAAGGTTCCATGCCTGCGCTCCCCGGGCCTGGGGAAGGGGGCGAAGCGGGGTGGGTGGGGAGGGGGGTGGCGGTTTCTATTCAGCGGGTGCCCCAGCTTAGGCTGCAGCCAGCGCCCCTGTCCCGGGAGCTTCAAGGAGAAGCTGGGGGGGGGTCCCCGTCAGTCTTGGAATTCAATACTCCCCCCGCCCTCTTTTTTTTTCCAGGAGGTGCAGCAGTCTCGCCCTCGGCGTTCCTAGGCTGGGGGGGGGTGGACACGCGGGACGCCGCGACTCGGGGTACTCGCGGTGCGCCCCGGGAGCCGGTCCGCAGCGCGCCCCGCGGTGCCGGCCCCCCCC